GAAAAGGACGAAGAAGAGAGGAAGGAAGAAAGAAGCTGAAATTAACACCAGGGCATTCATTGGCTTTTCTTTGGAGTTTTATCTTTTAATGGCCAAAATAGAAGTTTTAACCAGGTTTGATCCAAATGGAAATGTTTTTACTATTTTATTATTATAACTTGAAAAGTAGCACTATTATTAAAAAACTCAGAAGTTATGTGAAAGTGTGAATAAGACAATCAGATTCATCAGTCACTCTACTACTTGGAGATAACCGATGCTAATATTTTATTTCTATACCTTTAGACATTTCATAGTGTGTACATTTTAAAAATAAAAAATAGGCTCTCTTGTCCTCTTTTGTCTTTCATATAATATGCATTGTGGCCTCTTCCTTTTCCTCTATCTCTTCACTTCTCTTCCTAAAGCATTCAGTTTTAATTAAATGCTTTAGGGGGACGGAGTATTGAAAAGGAACAGAGTGGTCTGCAGTACTGGGATCAGGAAGGAGGGAAGACCTGGGTTCAAAGAATCAACAAAATGGATCTCGCCTTATTAAAAAGCTTTTGCACAATGAAAGAAATCACTAACAGAGTGAAAAGGCAACCCAAGAGTGGGAAATGATTGTAATGATTATAGCCAGTTGTCCCCCAGACAAAGGACTTCTACCTAGAACATACAAAGCATTGAAAAAAATCAGGCCCCCCATGCTCACAGACCCAGTCCAAAAATGGGCATTTGAGATGAATACACACTTCTTAGATGAAGAAATACAAATGCAAATAAATACATGAGAAAAACGTTCAACATCACTGGTCATTTGAGAGATGCAAATTAAAATAAGGCTGAGATTTCATCTCACTCCAGAGAGAATGGCTAGCATCAAAAATTCAGCGGATAACAAATACTGGAAGGGCTTGGGGGACCCTTCTCCACTGTTGGGGGGGTGCAGACTGGTACAACCACTGTGGAAATCGGTGTGCAGACTGCTCAAAAAGCTAGGATTAAGAGCAGGGGATTTAGCTCGGCAGCACAGCACCTGCCTGGTAAGCATGAGGTCCTGAGTTTAATTCCTGGCACCAGAAAACAAAGTAAAAAAATAAAAAGGCTAGCATTAGAGATCTCATTTGAATCAGCTATTCCTCTTCTGGATAGCCTTCCAGAAGAATTAACAGTAATGTACCACAGCAATATATGTGTGCCTATGTTTATAGCAGCACAATTTGTAATAGATAAATCTTGAAAACAACCCAGATGCCCATCAACTGAGGAATGGATAAAGAAGATGTGATATGTATGTAGACAGATAGATAGATGGATAGATAGATAGAGATAGAGATAGAGATAGAGAGATAGAGAGACAGACAGACAGACAGACAGACAGACAGACAGACAGATAGATTTTTGCCATAAACACTGGAGACTTTTATAGGTAAATGCATGCAACTTGAGACTATACTAATAAAAGAAATAAACCAGACCCACATGTGCAAACATCATATTGTCTCACTTGTGTGAGAAACTGAACAAGCAAATAAGATACAAAATCCACAAGGGATATTGTCTACTGGGAAGAAACTTTAAAAGACAAACTGTGATGGTAGAAAGGGGAAAAGAAGAAAGAGAAAAAGAAAACAATACATATATATATATATACACACACACACACACACACACACACACACACATACACACAAGATAGTTAAGATAGCTGTTCAGCTAGTTTCTCTTAGTTCATTAAAAAGAAAGTTTTGTGCTAAGATTGTCTAAACAGGATACCGGAGACGACCCAGGCTGCGGGATCCTGAACAGACCCAGAGCGCAGGCCCGGCGAGTGAATGAGACGACCCGGGCCTGGGGATCCTCATTTGACCCAGGCGGCAGGCCCAGCATGGAACTCTTCAGCAGAACTCCCTGCAAAGAGGCTAGAGGCAAGACCACCCAGCTGATTCAGGAGCAGAACATCTTGCCAGAGAGACACAAAGGGTTCAACTCCAACGCCTGCAGCAGAAAGAAGTGGAGCACAGCAGCCAGATCCAAACAACACCCACCTGGAGGAATCCGAACTTCATAGATC